ACCCAAAACAAAAGACCAAAAGACCCAGCCAACGGTACAAAAACTAGCCGTTGGAAACAGAAAAATCCATCGTCGGTCGACCGGAAATTCTGTCGGTCGACCGATTTGAGCTTTCGGTCGACCGGACCGGTCGACCGACAGACTCTCTGTCGCCCAGTGAGAAATGATCAACTGATCGGTCGACCGGGTCGGTCGACCGAAATCTGACACAGCTGAAAAACCTGATTTGCTGATTTTAAAAAGCTGTTTAAAAATATCAAACAAATTCCAAAAAATGTAAAACTTTGGGGAATGATTGTAGACATGATAATAAACATGCTACAATGACTGGTTTCGAAAAAGGACTTCCCAAATGAAAAATATCATCATTTTACAAAATAGTCCAAAACATGAAAACCTGAAAATTGATATTTTGATATTTTGACTTAAACAACATTTTGAAACCTTATGAAATGATTGTATAGACTTGATAAAAGATATAACATGTTGTTATGAAGTCTATAACCTAGAAATACAATATTTTCATAAAATTGCATATTCTATGCAATATATTCAAAACACTAAATATGATTTCATTAAATATAAGCTTGTTAAAGATGAAATCATATATATACATATAAGCATGAAACAAAATAGTATTTTCCAATTCTATGCATTTGTTTCATATATAAGCCCGAAAACTATAAAACCAAATATATATATATATATATATATATATATCACTATATATATATATATGAAAACAGATATAATGTGTGTGTATAGATATTGAGCTTAACGTATTAAACACACATAATATAAACCCTAAACTAAATTACCCAAGCTAGATCTTGATCTTCAATAAGCTCTTCTAGGTAATCTCTCGGATGAAGCTTTAACTTGGATCTTGAACTTTGAATATCAAGGCTTCACCGACATTCCGCCAACCTCCTTTGGATATGATCGTTATGGCGCAATCCATCCATCCTCCAACTACGTTGTTTGTCTACAAAACATAGGAATGCACAAACACTAGACAAACAACATTAGTAATAAATTGTTTGTTAAACATCATCAAAATAAGAAGGCCAACACGTCAGTCACGTAAAATCTAAAAAGACTTTTCAGTTCCCTCATTTAACGCACACCCGCGCCCATCCAGAGCTGCTCTCATTTCACTCGTACCCGGCCTAAGTCGACTCTAAGCGAAAGAGGCCAACTGTTATGGTGTTTTCAGTCACCAAAATGTGGCCATTTTCCAACAACGGACAGATGCCCCCCTAAATTCACCGCTCAAATCGAATTGATGATCAGAATCGCCAAGATCCCAACTTAACTGACTCTGAGTCCACATCTCCTTAAGTCAACTCGAAGGGCGGTACTTGTTGGTCTCCTTATCGAAGACGACTCGCTACGAGCCCACCCAACCAGTTATTCGACACCTCGTAGGGTCGACTCAAAAGATGTTACTTCTCGACACCCTCACTACAAGACAAAGATGACTTCAACCTTGAACCCCCCCCACTGACAGCGCGTCAGCGTTGCATTAAATGCTTAGTATGCACCATCATTTCTCCATCCCCGACACTATTTATGATACATTGGACCACGCTGGCTTCATGCGCCGCCCATCATGTCTCATTAATGGCGAAATGACAGTGCCCATTCCGTAGCCGATCCACAACCGACATCTGTAAAGTAGGTGCTGACTCAGTCTCTAGCTCAGGCTCGACCAAAAAGACTAGACTACCCCTCTTGCTTGGCTATAAAAAGAAAAACTATTCCAAATACAAGGGTAAGCAATTTCTCAGCATTTTCCTTCATTTTTCTATATTTTTCTCACATTTCCACTCAAGCACCTAGCTGACTTGATCATCAGAGGAACAACGGGGGAACCGATCCTCGTCCTTTTGCGAGTTGTTACACATGCAGGGAAAAACAACCCAACTACAAATCAGATATTCGAAAAAGCGAGCGGCCCCTATATCAGCTCAGTCCCTATTACCTTCTCTTATAATTGTATGATTTAAATCATTAATACACACAAGTGAACTTTAAAATTGACATCGATACTGTTGATAACATATTTGAAGTGAAGGACTTGAACGATGATTAGGTATGTGAATTTTTAATATTTTTTCTATTGAGTAATTTACTAAAAATTAATATATATTTAATTATAGTTTTTAACATTATACATATATAAAAAAACTTGATGCAATGACGAGAGCTATCTTTCAATTGGACGGTATACTTAAAACTTTTAATTAAAAGAGCTAAAATAATTTTAAAAAAAATATCAATTAAATTGTAATACAATGCCTGGGTGAATATATAACTTAGACCCTCAGGTTAATACTTTAAATCATTTATCATGCACTTTTTTTATTGTTGCCTTATAATTCAATTAATGATTGAATCGTCAGTCTATATTATTTTCATAAGAAACATTTCTTTTGCAAAACTCAAATCATGAGAATTGAGAAGATGTCAGGTTGGCGATATCTTTCTCATGCTGATTGCAATAAAACTTGAAAGAGATAAATGGGGTTCTTTCCTACAGTCATTACGAGAAGAAAATCAAATATGTTAGAAGAGAGGTAAATAGGATATTCTAAAATTTATAAATATTCATAATTTATATTTTAAAAAATTAAACTAAATAATTTTAATGTGACGCAAATATGTTAAATAACTTCAGGTACATACTTACCTTACAAATGACATATGGAACATGTATCACTATATTTATAGTATTCCATCACGATGTTCTTCGTTTAATGAAAATTGGTCCTTCAGAATTAGCAACTTCGCTGAGTTTGGTAAATTATCTCAAAATTGCATTCAAAGATGTTGATGGATTTGAAATTTTCAGTATATATTACTTAAATAGGTTGTAGAAAATAAGGATATTCCACTTGCTATTAAAAAACTAATTGCTATGCTAGACTTTTCTGCATTTAAAACCCCACCTACAACTAGTGGTAAAATAAGGATACAATCAGGTTGAATTATTTATAGTTAACTATTTTTAGTACATAATATTTTTATGTAAAATTTACTTACTAGACATGTTTTATATTTTGCATAGATGAGTAAAGAATCATCTCTTTCAACTATGAAGAAGAGGATTAAGACGTGGAAAAATGATTGAAAATTATAGGAGCTTTTCTTAATATTTTACTTATTACATCCTCTGAATTGGTGGAATGATAGTGAACAATTTTTTTTGTTTTGGGATGCATCAATTGCGAATAATGTTTTTGAATATTAAACTCTATTATGCCTTAATTACATTCAAGTTTCATTTAGATAAATTTTGATTTTCTTCAGTTTATTCATTTCATATGATAAAATTATTTTAAATAATGTAATTTTAATTATAGCATTATGTAATTTGCTCATTATCATGATTTCCAATCATGGACATATTTTCTAACCTCAATCAGGGGGGTTCCCATGCTTCGGAAGGGTAGGTGAATTGCGAGAAGATCATACTTAGCACAGGCTAAAAGACTAGTGTATGTGTATGTTGTGAATATAAAATGAATATGAGAAAACAAGATAATATTGAAAAGAATAAAATTCATATAATACAAGAGTATTTATGACTATATTTATTATATCCAAAAAGCTAAAATTGGATCTAGTGACTATTTACAACAGTGTAACTAACATATAATTGGATTTTCCGCATATGAATCTAGATATTTCACTATAGATTTGTATTTATAACCATATCCTGTCAAATAAGGATATTAATAACCATATTTGCATCCTAACGAATATGAACTCAGATAAAAAACCGAATCCATGTATTTTTTGCACCCCTAATAGGATTTATTGTGATGTAGGAAATTGTTTTATTTGGAAAATAAACCTTCAACGTGATTTTCTCGCAAAAAAAAAAAAAAAAAACGTCAAAATCAAAATTCCTGCTTTTTGTCTTTTTAAAAATCCTTAGAGAATATATTTCCATTTTTCTCAGTCCCAAATACAATAGAAATTACTAATACAAAAAATTGATTTCTTAAAAGCCGGGGGGAAATTGATTTCCATTAGGTTTTCGCGTAGCCATACGGACTGTTAGTATCAGGATAGTGTTAAGATTTTTGGTGAGCATTAGAATTAGGATTTGTGTCAGACGTAGGGTTATAACAATGATTATTTACTAAAAATTTATTGTTATAATTCTACTCCTAACTTTAATAATCGGTACCTTTTGTTATTACTTTAACCACAGTTCTAAACCTAACTAACATAGAACTAAAACTCTCACACCAATAGAAAACAATTGCTTTAACCTAAGTACAATGAGTAACATCAAAGTTACTGCATATGCAGACGTTAGAATTACTTATATAATTACATCATACTTCGGGTCCCCATATAGAACAGGATAAGGGGATGTTTGTTTCAAATTTTTTTTGGCATTTGGGTGGGATTTCAAATTCTAGGATCAAAAAGTGGGTTTTTTTGGGTTTTAGAATTCCATAAAACTTGTTTGTTTCAAAACAAATTTTAGAATATCAAATCCCCAAATAATAAAAAAATATTATATTTAAGGATTTGTGAAATCCTCATTTTTGGGTGGGATGTGGGGTGGATTTCAAAAGTGTTAGACAAATTAAGGATTTTAAATTTCAAAAAGTTTGAAACAAACAAAAATATTACAAATTATAGTATTGCAAATCCCAAAATATTGTTGAAACAAACAAAGTTTAGGAATCCCAACCCATAACAAATTACCTATGAATTTCAAATCCCATGGTGAAATCCATATCCTAAAATTATATGATTTGAAACAAACACCCTCAGTGTTCCAATAACAAAAGTTTAAAGAGACACGTGTGCCTAATAAATGCATTGCAGCCCTGTACGCTACACGGTCCTCTCACTGAATCCTCCACGATCCCACAGCATCCAGGAAAAATATCGTCGGAGCATAGGGCACCGCGGGCCCCAACGCTTTCCTTCTTAACCCCGAACATTCCCCAAAATTACAATCCCACCGTCCCCTCACCCCTCGTTTCCCCTTCACCTTTTGCCGTCCTGCTATCTCTCTGTCTCTCTCTCCGGCACTGAAGAGCCCGAAGAGGGTTTGCTCTCCCTCTGAACGAAAAGAAAAGGAAAAAAAAAAAAACCCTCACCCTAATTTTTTTTTCCTCATCATTTTTCTCTCGAATCTGTAAATATTTCTTCAAGTGATCGATCGACATCATGTCTCTGCGATTGGATTGAGCTGGGAATCGGAGGAGCGAGAGATGTATAAGCGAGGGATCGGATCGAAGTCCGAGATTGCGGCGATCGATCGGAAGCGGATCAACGACGCGCTCGACAAGCACCTGGAGAGGGCGTCACCGTCGACGTCGAGGGGGCTGAGCAACGGGAAGGAGAAGGATCGGGTTTCGATGCCGGCGAATTTCTCAGGAAAGAACCCTGATCAGATCACTGGACCCGTGGCCAAGAACAAGTGTTCCAATGGTGCGATTTCTTGAATTTTGTGATAATTATCATTAATGTTTGGTGTTGGTTTGGTGGATGAGATTGGTGCTTATTAGGTTTTCGAAAGAAGTGTGTGAGCTTTGTGGAGTAATTTGTGGGAAATAAGCAATGTGTGAGCTTTGTGGCGATTTGTAGTGATGAACTGAATCAGATCTTTGGTTGAAAATTAGTGCAAGTGAAAGACTGGTGCCATAATTTCACTATAAGTTTATTGTTCCAGAACCATACTTTATACAAGGCTTTGGAGAACTCACCCCCAAAAGCTAGGGTTAGAAGGAGGTAACCCAAATCCTTTAGGGACCGGCATTGACTCTCCCGTTGTCAGGACTAAATGGACCCGAACTTACCGTGCCCACAGGCTATCTTTGCACTAACCTAGTCCCCTTCGATCCCTGCAATCCTGATGTCACCGATTTGACTTTGCACAAGTCTAATCCTGGATGAACACAACAATGCCAGTGTCACCAAACACACAATCACTTGCATCTCGGATGATGGGCCTGGTTCTGATGTCATTTGCAGGAAACCAAGAAACAAGCTGTTAGAGGGAGAGAACCTGAATCCCTTGTAAACCCTAGCATAAATTTTATAGAGATGCACATATTTGTTTTGGTTCATTTGTGAAGATATTTGGTATATTGAAAGTTTGTAATTAGGAAACTTGATATCCAGCATTGCTCAGTCAAATGTGACTTTGGTAACGAAGTTGTTTTGTTTAAGAATCAAATTAAGTTTTGGGAGCTGTAATCTGTCAAGTCTATATACATTTGTCAGAAAGCTTTTTGTAACCATTATGTTTTGCACATATGCAATATAATCTGATGACTTCCCATATTTTATTTCTTGCTTAATATTTCTTTTGACTTGCTGCTATTTTGCCAAAATTCGTGCCTACTCATTTTTTATTTGCTTTTGTAACTACTTTCCTCTTCAGAAGTATCAGAGACAGATAGTGAAGAGTCGGATGTTAGTGGATCTGAAGGTGAAGACACATCTTGGATTTCATGGTTTTGTAATCTAAGAGGGAATGAGTTTTTCTGTGAAGTTGATGATGAGTACATACAAGATGATTTTAACCTCTGTGGTCTAAGCAGTCAAGTCCCATACTATGAATATGCCCTTGACCTGATTTTGGATGTTGAGTCGTCTCATGGTAAGCCTGTTCTCTTCTATGCTATAGTAGTTCTATTAGCATTATGTTATCTTTTGTCAGAAGTGATCATCACCTGCCTATATATCATTTGTTGACATCGTGACTGGCACTGAATACCTTAGTTTGTTTTGTGAAGCAATTCCTTCTCATGTATCATTGTTAATCTTGTTTAGAAGGTGCTTCAAGCAGTATGGCATGGTCATTTTTTTCTTTTACACATTTATGTACGGTAAGGACTATCTGCCAACAAAATGATAAAGCATATCCAGCATTATCTTTTTATTTTATTTTATTTTTCAAAACCAAGGTCGAATTTGTAAGACTGCACTACTAACTTCTAGTTAGGTTATGGATGTTGTAATAATTTTGAAACGATAAGAATCTTTGCTTGACCAATCTTTTAAGATGGTAATTTCTGTTTCACTCATACAATTTAGTAAGCTTTGCTTTGTTTGGGTAGCAAACCCGTCTAACTAGACATTTTCTTTTGAAAGAATCTACATCTTGTTTTCCTGTTGGGCTCCACTCTAAGCTAACCTAAATCTACTAATTGGTCTAGCTCCTTCTGAAATTTCCTTCTAAATAATTATTTTGCATGCTCAATTTTAGGACATATTCACTGAATGGGAGATGCTATACTTGATGACTATACTACGAACTACCAAGTGCCAATATGACTTGATGCACTATCTTTCCAACTTTGAAACAAAATTACCTTGATCCAGGCGAATAGGCGCACACTACATTTTTAGACGATTAGACATCAAATGCTGGTGTGTATCATTTATCCTATGCAGCACATCAGTTGAAATTAAGGAAAATTTCTTTAGTGGTAGCTAACACAACTTTTGCTCATCCATATTGGTATGGCTAAATGATTGACACGAAAGGCTTTTCATGTAACTTCTTTTTTATGTTGAAGTTGGTAGTATATATTGTGGTGTTTTGTTTTTGTTTGATTGGCTATTTGGCTGAAAAATATGCCATTGATTGTGAAAATATGTGGCATTGCCTCTTATTCGGCATTTGTTCTCTGTTGACGTGTTCTCAGATCAGGGCCGGTTCTGAGATTTTAGGGGCCCTGTGCGAAAGATAAACACAGAGCCCTTCTCTATATACAAAATAAATCTTTCAAAATGACAATTGAGCCGTGGTTCACAGAAAGATTGCTAATCTACTGCTCCTTGATAAGAAGAAACTAATAGAATGATAAGAATGTGTATTCTTAAACCAAACTATTCCCTACGAACAAAGACCACATTTGAAATTGAAAGAACATATATAAGAAAAGGGCCAAAATTTGAAGAAGTTATCATTAACAAAACTCATGCAATCCACTGTATTCTGACAATATTTAAACATGGGAAGCAATCTAAGATTGGAGAAGGTATCATTTAGACATAAATGGTGATGTATATAGAACTTGATTATTAACCATTTCTATTATCAGTATATTTGCACCGTTACTTAAAAAATCACATTTATTCTATTGTGCATGAAATGTTAACATAGATAATTATACACCACTAACAATTATGGATATGGAGAATGCTAAAATTGGAAGTTCCATACAAATTAAAAAAACAATAAATTACCGTGTTCTGCCTAAGGGGAGCACGCAGAGCAAGCTGATCAAACGTCAGGCACTCTCCCCAGCCTTCAGGATCCTCGCCCTCGTAGTCTCTGTAAACCTCAAAGTCGTCACTTTTATCGCCGGGAACCTCATAAACCCTCTTGTCATCAGTCACAGTTCCCACAACCACTGCAATATTGTTCTCCTACTCAAAAAAAGAAATCACCACAAATTAGCAAAAAAATCAAGAAAAATACTCTAAAATCCAATTTAAAAAAAAGATACTACCTTTCCCTTCATGAAGGCGACAAGCCTCTTGAGAGAGATCGGAGGCTTGCTCGTCCTGCTCAAAAAGAGCCTCTTCAGAATCACCCAGTTGAAGCTGCTGTCGGGTTGTCTCCCGCATGATCACGGACATTAAAGCAAAAAAAAATCCACCGTTTCCCCTAAATATCCAAACTACAATGCCCTAAATCGCTTTCTTGAAACCCTAGAACTTGGAGAGAGATCGAATCATGGATGAATTACCTCTTGAGGCCGTTCCTCCTCTGCGATCAAGGGTTTGTCGACGATGACGTCAGAGATATGAGATTGAGAAAAGAAGAAGACGAGAAATTGTGTGGGGCGGGGAGGTGAGGCGTGGTGTCGCGGTTGCTGGAGGAGGTTGGTGTGGCGCTGTGACGGATCTAGAGTTGGGCGATCAGGGATGGCTGATGACGCGGCTGCAAGGGAGTGCCGGAGTATGTTGGAGCCGGATCTGGGGGGAAATGTTGGGAGCAGAATCTGGTGAGTTGCGGGATTTGGGTTTTATTTTAATGGGGGGGCCGCGTCTGCAGCATGGCCGTGGTGCACTGCCGTTCGGCGGTAGCGGGGCCTCTCCGGGGACGAAGGTGAGAGAGTGAGAACGATAGAAATGAGAATTAAGAGGAAGAGAGAGAGAGGCGGGGGCCCCCCAACTTTAGGGGGCCATCTGTGCGGTCGATCCGTTGGAACACCCTCAAAACCGGGCCTGTCTCAGATACCATGTAGTACTAGATACTTGTTTATGACATTGTGTTAATTACATTATATTCAATCGACATAATTGTACATCTTTCCTAAATTCTATTACTCTCGCCAAGTTTTTTAATTAAACATGATGATTCATGCCTCCTTGTGGGTTTTAACATTTCTGGTCATTAAATTAGGAGGTTTGCTTGTATCAAGCTTTTGTCAATCGACAAAATTATGCATCTTTCCTAAGTTCTATTACTCTCACCAAGTTTTTTACTTGGAACATGATGATTCATGCCTCCTTGTGGGTTTAAGCATTTTTGGTCGTTAAATTAGAAGGTTTGCTTGTGTCAAGGTTTTGTCAATCGACATAACTATTCATCTTTCCTAAAGTCTATTACTATCGCCAAGTTTTTTACTTGAACATGATGATTCATGCCTCCTTGTGGGTTTAAGCATTTCTGGTCGTTAAATTAGGAGGTTTGCTTGTATCAATCTTTTGGCATCTGCAAAGTTTTGGATTCCTATTATTTGAGCTTCGAAGGTTTGCTAAAACTTAGGTGAACTAGTTAAATCTCTTGCTGACTGAATCATGTTTGATTCATGAGATTTCATTTTGTCTATTATGACCACTCTTTGTACATTTTTCTGAAATTTTCCAAGTTCTTCATCCATGAGAACATATTAATCGTGGGTATCTTTAAAGGTTAGTTTGCCATGTGAATACACTTTTCTTTGTCATAATACTTGTTGTTTATATATTCATAGCATCTTTCGGTTCCACAACATCTGCTTATTACAATGCCAAGTTGTTGTCTTTGTTGTTCCTCTGCTTATATTCATCTAATCTATCCCGGTCTTTTAAACTGTTCCCTTTGGAATACATTTTGATCTTCGAGGTACTTTAGCTTCCTTGAGCTCCCACAGAATTTTTAGTTTCTGTTTCACTGTAGCTTGACGCCTGCTGTTTTCCACATTAAAACTACTTTCTTGCATTCAAGTTTTTTTAAGATAGGCTTAGTCGCTGATATCCGTTAATTTTTGTAGTATTGGATCATCTCTACTATATTAAAGAAACATCTCTACTGTATAATTAGAGGCCCAGCTGCGCCCTCTGACTGTGAGCGTGACCTAAACTTACATAATAGCCCTGCATTTATCTTTACTTTATATATTTATAATTCTGGTTTTACTTCTAAGTGTTCTATTTGTGGAATTAAGAAATGGAAAGAAAATTGTTTTTTATGCAGCAGGCCCTTCTAATCAGTCTTTTGTATTAACCACTTCAAGGTTGTGGAAACTGGAAGCAGAAAATAAGGCCCAAATGGTCTTCACAATGAGAAGTATTAGTCTCTTTTTTTCTTGGAAGCTTAGAAATCAATGCTAAAATGTTAATTTTGAAAATATTAGTAAACAAAAATGAACTATATAAAATGTGAAAATAAACTTGAAGCAGGTTTAAAGTACTCCCGATTAGCTAGAGATTCTATAACGACCTGTTCTTACCCATATGTATAAGAAATAGATTTTGTGCATATCTATTAAGCCATTTTTCATAACTCCCATGCAAGTGACCTGTAACCTTTATACAAGATGGAACTATTTTTTAAACCCTTCCTTTTACATGGTGCCTTTGCTTTAAAAGTTGAAGCACCTGAAAGTATTAAATTTTAGGAACTGAATACGTGACCTAACATGCGGAGATAATTTCACATTTGTGACCACCTTGAATTTGTGACTTTTTTGTGTATGTGTCTACGTGTAATTTTGGGTTTTCACTAGGTACATTTCTAGCCTTTTAATATTGTTATAGTAGTTAGTGGATTAGAACTAGGGTAAGAATTTGAGGATTATTAATCAGCCTTTCCCCTCTATGCTTATTTATAATAAATCAGAAGTACAATAGTTATTCCACGAGCAACATGGGACTAAACCAAAGTAGACTAAACCTCTAATAACAAATGTGAATAGCACATGCCACCAGTCTAGTTGTTATGGATGAAACTGCGCATGAATGCGGATGCACCACCTCCTAGCTGTCATTGGTGAATTAAGAAGTGAATAAGCAAGAAGAGATTTTTATGTAGAAGAAATAGGAGGAAGAGATATGTCCTAGTTACAGTCATCTATCATCATCAGCAGCAGCTGCTCTCTCTACTTCCTACCTTGCCTCTACCACTTGGTGCTGCCAAAAGAGGAAAAGGAGAATAGGTCAGGCTGTGACCTGTGTTACTTTTTTCTGCAGATAGGGAACGTGGAAGTGATATATTCTTGAATCCTTCAACGAGTGTGAAGCAAAGCAGTTCTAGTCAGCAACATGGTGCAGTGGCAGTATGGATCATTTTTTTGATCTCTGTTGAAAAATATGTGTAGTTATCATGCCATGGTATAAGGTCCTTGGTTTCATTGTTTGTATTCCATGGTTGCAGGCAGGAAACCTGGGAAACCATTGACCTAGAGGGAGCCCTTGAGTTTTATCTTGAAAATCTTCAACAGAAATGCTTGATATCTGCCATGTTAAAATTTTAAACTGACTAAGGTGGTTATCTTTTCACGATTGTCAAGAAACTTGTGTGTGTGAGCATTGTTTTAAATATCCCCGACATGGCTCGATATATTGCCGATATATCCTTTTATAGGGCTTGCTGCAGCCAAAATGGTCTCTAAATATTTTTTACCACTTTTTGGCTATTTTGGGTGATATATCCCCGATATGGCTAATATATCAGCCAATATGATGGCTGATATAGTCTTTTATGTGGCTTGTCGCAAAACAATATACTGTGTTTGACAATTATTGTGCGAGATATCATGATTTTCCTATTATATCAAATGACATATTGGCTTAAAAAAATCGGACGAAATGTTACAATGTTGATTTGTACTTTTGTTATAATGTTAGTTTTATAAGGTTGATTAATGATCCTAAACATATATTTTATATTTTGCATGCTTAAACTTTATAAAGTATGTTGAGATTACATTCTAGTACATTATATTATATGTGCAAACATTTGCATGGCATTCCGATATTTACCACATATCTCCGATATTTTCCTGATATTCGCAATACGATATGAATTTTGGCCATCTGATATTTCCCCGATATCCGATATGTAGAACCTTGTGTGCGAGTCTCATATAACTTGATATTAGAAGCCTGCATTAACCTATTAAGGAGAAACCGTCCATCATCATGTAAAAAGTTATGTGAGATTGAAAAGGGGAACTTAACAGTGTTGGTTGGGAGAAGTAGAGTCTTGGAGGATTAAAGCTTCTCTGCAGATCATGAATGAATAAAGATTGGAAGAAAGAGAAAAAAGCAATAGGGAGAATCGGACTTTATAAATTTCTCCAACCTATCTTATCTTCCTATGTTTTCTGATTTCCTTCATTGTTTTCAGCCTTTTACTCAGGTTTTACCAAAGAAGAAGATGATAACAATTAAAAACATGTCATAATAGAAAACTAAATAAAAACCTTTAAAAGCTAGGAAATAGCAACCATTCTCTTATGGACTCAAGAAGCTGCCGGGTGGCTTTGGTGTTTCACAGCCATAGCAAAGGCATACATAGAATTTTTGTGAAATTCTTATCTTAGTTCTTAATATTTATGTTTACAAACCATTTGGAACTGTGAGAACACCTAACTCTGATGTTTGTCTTTATCAAGACTTAACCTTTCCAAAATAACCCTCAGCTCTAATCTTCAACTTAGCTCATACAATCCTATTATGATGATTTATTCCATTTTCTGATCTGCATCTCAAACTGTCATATATGTGGCTGGAATGGTAATAATTTTACAGTAACTTCTGTTCGTACACATACCTTTTTCTTGCAATGAACTGCATTATTTGCCTGGGCAATGAAGAGAGCAATGACACTTTTGTTTTTGTACATTTAGCACAGACTATACGTCTAGCCTTTCATTTCTGTATTATTGATAGTGATCGATAAACTCATTGCAAAATATTCAAAACAATGCTTTCATTTTAATCAGTGAGATTCTTGACCCTTTACCTCTTCGTTCCCCACCCCACCCAAACACAATCCTAGATTGAGATGTTGATGGCTTCATTACTAACTAATTTGATAGGATCTGCTTCTTTTTCATTGTGTCTGTCTACTATTAAACATCAGTTGATCTCAGTTTTCCACTGTAGGCACGTGCTAATATGCAATTGATACATTACAATGAGGAATTTTGGTATACAGAAAGAATTATGACATTCAGGAAGTATATGCGCGCTAAAATAGAACATCTTGAGAGGGTTCTATGCATGTAAAGGAGCAAAGTCAAATTTGAACAAAAGGCTGATTCTTGTTTGTGCACAATATATATATAATATATATATATATATATATATATATATATATAATATATATATATATATATATATAGAGATGAGAGGAGAGAGAGAGAGAGAGAGAGAGGATATATGGGTATATTTGTCATAGGCGGGGATTTCCTCTGATGCTCTAAAATCACATGATGAGCGACATTGTGGATGATCGCGTCCGTTGAACTTGATCTACATATTCTAAAACCCAACACACCAAGTTTGGGCGTGAACCCGTCGTTTGACCCTTCATCCACTCGTATCAATTCAACGGTTTTGAAATGAATAGAACTTTTCACACATGGCTCGATGGAGGGTCAAACGACGACAGGTTCACCCAAACTTGGTGTGTTTGGGTTTTTAGAATATGTAGATCAAGTTCAACGGAGAGGATCATCCATAATGTCGCTCAATCATGTGATTTTAGAGGCGTCAATGAGAAAATCCCCTCCTATGACAAGGATACCATTTAATCTCACTATATATTATTATATATATATATATATATATATATATATATATATATATATATATATATATATATATATTAGAGAGAGATGCAGAGAGAGAGAGGAGAGAGGAGAGAGAGAGAGAGAGAGAGAGAGAGAGAGAGAGTGTGTATGCGTGTGTATATGTACTTATACAACTGTAATTCTATAATATACACATATAAATATACTTATAACTACATTCTATATATTTATATATTTATATCTTAGTATCTATACCATGGTAAGTGCGTGTGTGTAGAAGTATATAATAGAATATACTTGTATACTTACAAGTATGTATATATATAGAGAGAGAAATATGGAGAACCTTGGTACTAAATTTCTCCATTGAACTTGGTAGTGATGTGGTCAGATCTGACCCCTACATCACGCCTCGAAGATAGAACCTCAATCACTATTCACCTACTCTAAAAAAGAGGCTTCATCTTCGAGGCGTGATGTAGGGGGCAGATTTGGCCACCTCACTACCAAGTTCAATGAAAGAACTTGGTACCAAGGTTCTCCATATTTCTCATATATATATATATATATATATATATATATATAGCAAAACTTGTGTCAACTAAGTGGATAGCAAAAAGTTGTCCACCAAACTTTTTAGCCACTCATATTGTCTAGGGATCCTTGTATGATATGAAAAGGTTTTTTATATTAATAAATGAGTGATAAGAAGTTTGGTGGATATCAACTTAAGTTGATAGGAGTCTTACTCTATATATATGTGATCTGTATATGAAAAAATAGCATTCAAGAATGACATTGTACTACGATATCTTCATAAACCATGCATTGCACCGTTTTCTATGGATTATATGCACATTCATAATGAGATGATTAGACCGATTGATGTGTGTGAAAACAAATGTCGGACATAGATGTGCCTTACTGTTACTGGCACGCATGGCTTGCATTCAATACAGATGGATATGCCAGTTTCAGTGTAGGCAAGTGTCTTACATATCATTGTTATGCAAACAAGGACATTCACATGTTTCATATATAACATACACTTTTCTTTTAGAACTCATGGCAAGTCTGGGGTATCAATCTTTCCTCTTGACTTTATTCTGAAGAAAGCTCTGTCTGTGAGAGTAATGCAACCTGCTGGATATTTGTGCGGTTTATAGAAGACTCTTGCATTCTGATAGAAGTTAAATCATATAGTTCTGCGTCTTGTATGGATATGCTATCTGGCCAGTGAGCATAAGTTGTATCATCAGGCTAAAAGATGATCAGTTCTACAACTCTTGCAAAATAAAATCTTTTTATTTCCTGATATTAATCATATCAAGTTGAACCTGACCTCAAAACTTCACCTATGCAGTTCCTTTCTATATTCCTTCTGGTTCTTACTGGAAAAGAACTTCCTTTTTGTCTTGAATCTGCCTTAGATGTTATACTTCTGGCTTATTTTTAAAGTGCATGTGGTATACATCTCTACTGAAGTATTTTAACACGATCAAATTTCGGATTTACTACTGAATCAAATTCCATCATTGCGTGTGTCATATATTCCCCCATTTATTGACATAAATCTCTAGGCCCAGTTGTCAAGCAGTAGACCTCTTCCTTATTTCCATAATTCCAGCTGGTTAATATTTTAGCATCTGTGTGTCACAGATATGGACGGGGTTCCATTCAAAGATTTCAATGTTGTGTTGTGGTATAATCCATGTGGAATACTTCTGCAAGCTTGGTACGACACTTCATTGCATGATTGTTATATAAAAATAAAAAGGAAGCTAAATTTACTTTTTTCTTATATCTTCCGTATTCATAAAACAGTTAACAGAAATTAATAGATTTAATGAATCCCAGTGTTCAGAAATCACCCATAGGCCACAGGGCAAGAGATTCATTCATTTAATTCATATATCAGTAGACCATAGGCATTTCATATAGCATATCAAGGTTGCAGAATGACTTCAACAAATACTCCTGTATTTAATTCTATTCTTTATGAAGAGTAAGTTTGTATCCTATTTTCAGTGAATGCTGTTCAGGAATCATTAAAGTAAAATGAGGTATACAAGAAGACATTGTGTGTTCCGGTATCTATCTCATTTGAAATATCAAGTGAGTAACCTTTGCTTCTTGCTATTGAACAGATGAGATGTTCACGGAGGAACAAAATGAGCTAGTTGAATCAGCAGCAGAGATGCTGTATGGTCTTATTCATGTGCGCTACATTTTGACCAGTAAAGGGATGGCTGCTATGGTGAGATATCGTGCATTGACCTTTTGGATTTACATAGTTTCCTCAGCTGTTCTGAGCTGATTTTATCTGATATTTTTTGCTTTTGCAGCTAGATAAATTCAAGAATTACGATTTTGGAAGGTGTCCCAGAGTTTACTGCTGCGGTCAGCCCTGCCTTCCTGTTGGTCAATCAGACATTCCTCGATCCAGTACGGTCAAAATCTACTGTCCTAAATGCGAAGATATATACTATCCCAGATCCAAGTACCAAGGCAGTATCCTTTCATCACAATATCTAATTCAAATCTTAAAAGATAAAAAATAATTCTTCCATCCTTTCCAACTCCACATTTGTGCATCTATCAAGCTCTAAAGTGATTTGTCGGCCATCTTATAGGATGATGAACTTTGTTTCCGATATCAATAACATGCATTTACACACATATATGTACATGTATATATGTATGTGTGTGTGTGTGTGTGTATATATATATATATATATATATATATATATATATATAGAGAGAGAGAGAGAGAGAGAGAGAGAGAGAGAGNGTATCCCGTATCTGCTTCATATTTTGGTAGCATTCATCCATTGGACCATTACGCATTCCGGCTTAGATAATGCTAACAAGGCTACAATGGGTAAATATTACTCCTCTTCACTACAAGACATAAAATCATGGGATCCTTTCTCATGGAAATTGTGTCTCTAAGCAACCCTACATTTTTGTGTTCTGTAGTGCACTAGCATTTTTGTGTTGTCTAGTACACTAGCATGATGCAATGTGGAGTTAGCATTACCCTTCTGGCATTACAGATAAGTTTATGCATATTAATCACCAGTAAGAAACTGTTGCAAGTCTATTTGCACATTTGCTCTGTAGTTATGCTTCAGTTGAGATCTTAACTTTGTTAAGACATTGATGGTGCTTACTTTGGGACGACATTTCCTCACTTGTTTCTGATGACGTATGCTCATCTTAAGCCACAGAAGACATCTCAGCGATACATTCCAAGAGTATTTGGCTTTAAACTCCACAAGCCATAATTCTGGATTCAAGCATGACCCTGCACCAAAGAAAAGGTACTGTGGCTAGTGGAAAGAAGCGGAGGAAGTCTAGGGCTAAGTGTTTGTGTTGCCCTCATATTAAATACCGGGGAGATGTTTATTCATCGTGCTGTTGTTTATTTTTTAAGTAGTTGTAGTGTGGAAGCATTTGTAACATCAAAAACTCTGAAAGCCTGTTTGTTGTTTATTCTGAGATCTAGTTTGTGTACTAATGGTTGTTCTTTGGGTTAATTTCATATAGGCCCCCTGCTTTATTATTGTTTTGAACATACCATCATGTAACCTCATTTGACTCTTTTACGCTCGGAGTGACTCACTAGTTTCACCGTGGTGCCAATACCTGCTAAAATATCATGCAGGCCAAGCGCCGATGCGAAATGAAAGTTCAGGAATAGTAAGTTCAAAACGATGATACTGCAGGGGTTTATGTGCAGTTAACCCTTGTTCTTTTACGGTGCACGTGTTTTCAGCTTGTCATTTTGAAAGTCTATTTGATGGAGGGATGGACGGAGGCTTGTTGGCGGCTGGGAGTTATGCAAGCAGGGGATAAGAGCTAAAAGTATCCATCAGCCTGAATGCCTGATGTCAATCATGCCTAGCTCCTTATCTAAGTTTTGTCGAGTTGCGATAGAAAGCGAAGTCCTGATGGGGATGGATGTGGTGCATTGGGACACAAAGGATCACTTACTAAACTACCACCCTCAAACTTGAGATTCAAATGCTCCAGTCCAATTTGTAGGGGAATGATGCGGACAACTTGGATATTGTTTGTTTGCTAGTGAGTAATATTGCTGTGTTTGCTGCTGTTTGTCCTTTTTTGTCAATGAGTTAATGGTTATGAATCATATTCATTCATGAAGTTGGCAATGTTTATACTCGGGTTTTTAAAACTATATTTACTTTTACTCGAAACACCACCTTTTGGAGTTTTCTTAGGTGCTGTTTGTTTGCCCAAAAAAAAATGAGAAACCCCCCGCCATGTCACCTTTGAGGAAATTCTCCCCTGACACCTCAGATTTTGGTTTCAACCGTTTTCCATTTCGCATGTTTGTTTCATTTTGAGTTTTAAGAAAAGGGGGATGCCACGTAGGATGCCATGTCAAATTTTAAGAAATGTGTTTTCACACCAAAAACCTCTGAAAACACTTGGAAATGTCACTTCTATGAATCTTTAATTAATAAAAGCACTGTTGAAATAGTATAAGAGAATAAAACAGATTATTTAAATGCTGATTTTACTGTTACTATTGCGGCTGACCTATATTTCTCTTTTTTTGTTCACAAACAAACACAAGAAATGGAAATCTATTCTACTGTTACTATTGCGGCTTTTTTTGTTTTTAGTGTGACATGGCGGTGAAATGTGGTGATTTCTTTGCGAAACAAACAGATAAAAGAAAACTGGGAAATGTCTTGAAATGTGATGAAAGCAAATGAAATGTGACATTTCCATTTCCGATTTTTTTCGGAAAACAACCAAACAGCCCCTTAAATGAAAACCACCTTTAATTGCTATTATTTTTGCAATGTCACACCTTTTGACTTAAAAAACACCCACCCTTCAAAAATACTGTTAGACCCCCAAATCTTTCATACTATGATATTAGTCCCTAAAGTCATCATATTTTGAAATTTAGTCCCCCAAATCTCCCAAAATCTCTCGACCCCTCTTCCTCCTCCTCCTCTATGAGTAGGCAAATTTTCACGCGAGAGAAGCAGGGCCGGATCTGAGATTTTAGGGGCCCTGTGCGAAAAGTAAACACAGGGCCTTTCTCAATATACAAAATATCAATAAATTCCAATTCGAATCCCTAAAATGCTAGGGAACAAAATATTACTGATCAGACATTAAAATGTTACCTGAATTCCAATTCGAATCCCTAAAATGCTAGGGAACAAAATATTACTGATCAGACATTAAAATGTTACCTGAATTTTTTGCATCTGCATAATCTTTAACATACTTTTCAAGTGCTATTGCTCATTCTTCATCTCTTCAGTCACCTGAATAAAATATTACTGATCAGATAAATGCATGTACTCCCACCTTAATAAAGCTTTCCAATAGAGCAAATAGTCCACAATAAGAAATACTTGTATATTATGTTCCTCTTGTATCTGTGCTTACCTTCATAAGAGATATCGAAGCCTTTAGCATAAAAAAGTATCATCGAAAAATTATCCTCCTTGCATTTTTAGCTGCAAAATCACTAATTAAGCCCTTAACATCAATTTTATCTATAAAATCATTTTCAATAGATATCAAAGGTAGTCCATTTACTCTTTCTTGTGACATGGTCGATCTCAGATAAGATTTTAATAATTTTAATTTTGAAAAACTTCTTTCTGCAGATGCGACCGTAACAGGTATAGTCAGTAATATTCTATAAGCAATACATGCATTTGGAAAACAATTTCGTATTTTTAAGAAATTCAGTATATCAATAGCCATCTTTGTTTCTTTTGGTAAAATATTTCGTAAGATTTTTAGTTCTCCAAATAAATCTTTCCCATCAAGATCAGAAAATGTTTTATATTTTAGAACAATTTCAAGATTATCACAACATGCTTTCAAATTATTATCATCTAATGAATTTAACTTTTCTGAACCAAACAAAAATCCAAAAATATCTTCATATGTTTTATATTGCTCAAACCTTTTCTTTAGTGAACCAATAGCTTGATCTACAATATACAAAAAATAATTGATTCTAAAAGATTCTTCAGCTGATTGTATTGTCTCCTCATTAACATTCTCATCAAATTGTCTTTTTCTACCGATTTGACGTTTTGCTTGAAATACAGAATCAATTTCCATTTCAGTAGCAATTTCTTTAGCAATTGTCATAGCTTGTGTGAGCCCAACTTCTCTATAATCCTCAAAAAACCTAATCAATCCTTTTACTTGATCTATAGCAATATCAATAAGCATATCTTTAGATTGTAAATATTTGCTAATTAAGTTAACAACAAATAATATATCATACCAAATAATCATACTTAATAAAAATTCAAAATTTCCAATTCCATGTGTTGCTAAAGAATCTGCTTCACTCCTTATTTTGGAGTCATTATCAGTTTCTGCTAACTCAAGTAGTGCTTCTCTTATTTCAAGCGTTTGGAATCTAATTGCTTTAACGCTTTCAATATGGCTTTCCCAACGTGTAGCCGACAATGGCTTCACAGTTAAACCTTTTACATTATTTATCAAAATTTGCCATCGCTTTGTTGAGTGAGAAAATAATGTATAAATGCGTTGTATCACTCCAAAAAAGTCTTTTGCTTTACCACAACAATTTGCCATATCACAAAGTGTTAAATTAAGACTATGACAACCACAAGGCGTGTATAATGCTCTAGGATTTATATCAAGTACTTTTTTTTGTACACCTTGGTGTCTCCCTTTCATATTAGAACCATTATCATACCCTTGACCTCGTACATTATCAATATCAAGATTAAGAGTTTTTTGCATATTTTGCAATTCTTCAAAAAGTCCTTGTCCAGATGTATCATTTACTTTTAAAAATTCTACAAAAAATTCTTCTATTTTTATCGGGCTTGTAGAAATATCAACACATCGTAATATTAAAGTCATTTGTTCTTGGTGACTTGCATCCGGAGTACAATCAAGTATTACTGAAAAGTATTTAGCTTCTTTAATTTTTTGAACTATTGCACATTTGATTTTAGAAGCTAACATACTTATCAATTCATTTTGAATGCTATGACCAAGATAATGATAATGAATTTCACCATGGTCAATACGTCGAACATGTTCTTGCATTACCGGATCCTATTTCTGCAATCATTTCAATTAGGCCTAAAAAATTTCCATTATGATTTTGATAAATTCTCTCATTTGTGCCTCGAAATGCCAAGTTATGTTTAGCAAGATATTTAACAACAGAAATTATTCTTTGTAATACTTTCTTCCAATGTTCCTTCTCTTTATTAATTTGCTCTTGAATATTTTTATCAATTGTTTTATTATTCTTTAATCTTATGCGTAAATCAAGCCAAGTACTCATGTTAATGATGTGCTCATTAGTTGTTTCATGTTCTTTAACCCTAGCACTAAGATGCATCCAATCATTAAATCCTTCATTTATTAAAAAACTTTTCTTAAAACCATTTTTAAACAGTTTACAACAAAAACAAAATACTTTATCGATATCCTTTGAATAAACTAACCATTCCCTATCGCATTTCTCTCCATTTGATAAATGCCTAGTGTAAAATGCCGAAGAAAAACATCTTCCTAATTTATCTTTAGGACCTTTTTCGAATAATATATCTCTTATAGGGCCATTTTCCACTAATATCTCTAGATTTTGTGTCCAAATTATCCCAAGTTCTTGGATCATAAATATTCAAATTCATGAGCATAGACTGACTAGGTTGTTCATTGCCTAAAATATTTTCATTCTCATTTTCATTTTCATTGTCAATATCAATTTCATTCTGATTCTGATTCTCATTTTTACTTTCATTTTTATTTTCATTTTCATTTTGATTCTCATTTTCATTATCATTTTCATTTTCATTATAATTCTCATTATCATTCTGATTCTCATTTTCATTATCATTTTCATTTTTACTTTGATCATCAACATTTTCATTCTCATACTCATTCAAGCCCAAATCATTGATGTTATCATTTTCAATTGAATTTTCAACTAAATCTTGTGTTTCTCTAACAATGAATTTATCAAGTGCTCCACTTTGAGTTTGGACAAATTGTTCATTTTTTCTTTTTTTCTTGCGTTTATCATATCCAGAAGGATACTTTCTTGGAGGCATTTCTATAATAAAACAAAAAATATTACAATTAAATTGGTAGAAGTCAAAAGATTAGGAAGAATACAACCTAATTTGAAGCCTTAAATCAAGTGGAAGATGTACTCGAGTAGTCTGCAAAAGATAGTTGACACCATAATAAACATGTCTATAACCTTTTCATAAACCTGTTCAAAACAGAAAAGCAATAATAAAGGTCTCATCACTCATCAGCAGAAATACAATTGTATGACACCATAAGCTCAAAAAAAGATGAACAGAACTATAAAGGAAAAGAAAATTACAGATGTCTATAAGCTAACATAATCAACAAAGTATAAGTCTTTTATTTGCACAAGACATTATATAGGGCCAATAACATGGCAAGAGTATCCATAAATTTAGCTCTTTGACTTCTAGTATTGCCTCAAGATGAATACAACTCCTAGGATACTTGAAATGTTAGTTCTATAACTGCATGACCTTAAAT